TGGTTTCCAGTTTTTTTATAAAAGTAGTTATAGTTCCCTCCTTAATCAAACAAGTCAATTGACCCATTTCTCCAAATTTGGCCATCTTCACAATCCATTCCTCCATTATTGGTATTTCTGTAGTCTTTCATCTTTGTGCATAGCCTTCCTGCAGTTACCATATACAAAACCAATTGTCCATGAGCCTTTTCTAGTTGAGTGTCCATACATCCTAATAAGAAAAGTTCTGGTTTCATCTGAATGTAAATTTTTAAAACTCTCTGGATTACCATATGTATTTGTATCTAGTATCATTTCATTTTTTCACAAGTCCACCATGCATGATAAAATGTCCCTTCATGTTTTTCACATTTCCAACAGTAATTAGAAGTACCTTTATATATCTTAGACCATTTCTCTGGTGTCATATGTTAACCGTTACTCTTCACCTGCTGTTTCTTTTCTATAAAATGCTGCTTGAGCTGAGGCCAAGAAAGGTATTTTCAGGCATAGCCTGGATTTGTATCTATTCCATATTTGTAGTATGGAATTCCTAATATAATGATTTTTAAAATTTACATTAACTTTATCATACCATTAGTAACCATGCCACCCAAACCTCAGACCATGATCTTCTAAATCTAAAAGTCTCTTATTTCTTAACAACAGCTACTCCTTCATCCAAACCAAACAGCAGGCAGCAAAATACAATTTAAAATCAGGTAATCCCAGTCTTCCTCTTTCCTTGGAGGATCTTATATTTAATCCTTGTTTTTTCCCCCCTGCCATATAAATCTGGATATGTCTTTTTGGCACTATTTAAATGGTACATTAGTTCTCAAAACAGGTATTGTCTGAAATAAGAACAACATTCAAGATAACACATTCATTTTTACCAAAGAAATTCTTCCCAACAATGGCAATTGTAATTTTTCCCATCTTAATAAACCCTTCTTAATTTTATTCCATACTTTAACATAATTATTTGAAATAACTTACAATTAATGTTAGTTATAATAATACCCAAATATTTCACTTTTTTCTCAATCTGAAAACCAGTTTTCACAGACAATTGTATTTGGACTTCCAGTTTGATATTCTTTGTCAACATCTTTGTTTTTTCTAATTTTAAATCCAGCCAGTGCACCAAATTCTCTTAGTTTTTCCATTAATAAATCTATCCCTCCTAAAGGGTACTCCAAAATTAGAACCAAATGACTGGTGAATACTCTTAGTTTATATTTCACTCCAGCAATTCTCTCATCTTGTCTTATGTCTCTATTCAAAACTTCAGGAGCCAGAATGAATAACAACAGAGGAACATCCCTGCCTCCTTCCTTTTTGTATTTCACAGGGCTTGGTCAATTCCCCATTCACAATTATTTGTGCCTTTTGTGAAGTACATATCAATTTCACCCATGTAATAAAGTTCTCTCCAAAATTCATATCTTCCAAAACTTTAAACAAAAAAGTCCAGTTTAAATTGTCAAAAACTTTCTCTGTGTCAAGAAATATTAAGGCAGCTTGTTTTTCATTGTATTGCTCCAAGTATTCTAATAACATTAAGAACATTTCTAATATTATCTCTTAATTGTCTCTTAGAAGGCCCTGATATATCTAATCACTTCTAGTGTGGGAAAAGTAACAAATTCTTACTATAATTAGTACCAAGAACTTGCAAGATTGCAAGGATAGTGGATAATAACTCTCAAGCTGTGTCTCCAGTGTTACAGTATGTATTCAGTATTGTTTCTATTCCAGTCTTTGATTGAGGTTAACAAATAAGCCCAATTATACTGTTTGCAGATCAGGAAAATTAAAACTACCATAATCATAAGAAAGATATAATATTAACAAGGAGATTGTGGGTATGTGTGTGTTCCATAAAAATTTAACAATTATCAGTCTTTTAAAAATACTTAAATAGAACCAGCATTGCTATCAAAATACTTAACAGTTTGATGCAAAATTCATTTCATGACATTAATTCTTCCCTCAAAAGTATTCTCATCCATCTCTTAATATCATCCTTCATCTGGATGATACATTTTGAAATGTTCTTGTTGACCAAACTGAAAATTTTCTCAGGGATAACAACAACAACATCAAACAACATCTGCCTATCCCAGGTCCTACGGAAGGACTCGATAGGTGGATAAAAATGCCAAATCCAGTCGAAACATCTGACTGACTGTGCAACCAACCATAATAAAGTTCTGGACAATATAGAAAACCTATCTCTTTTCTCTGTGTCCTTTGGAACCTTCTTTCCAGTTAGCATAATATTTGACTTACTCCAGTTCAAACAGTATATTTCTTGTGTGCTTTTTTCTTGTTTAAATGTTATTGTTTTGCTGTGAAACATTACACATTGAAACCACACGTACATACCAAAACCTGTCAGAATTTGCAATGAGATTGATACTCCATAGAAATATTAAAACATGTATTTCCCAAAACCAGTAGCTCCTTAACGTCCTCCCCCATTTTTCTTACCTCTGTTTTGGTTTTTAGTATTTTAAATAATATAAAAAGTAAAGTCATATGCATACATAGTGAGTGGGATTCATTTAGGTATGAAGCTGGGCCAACCAATGCCTTGAGCCCCCTAAAAAAATAAGTGGTTAAAATTATTGCAAAAATCCCCAAATATTACAAGAACTACTGTAATCAGTCCTGCACAAAAATATCAATATCTATAAGATTGCTGAAGTCTTGCAAAGTCTGGTGATATTGTAAGATATTTACTATGGAGTCCTTGGGGTTCTCTGAGCTTGGTTGTTTTCTTGCAAATGTTTCATTACCCGGTTAGGTAACATCTTCAGTGCTAGAATGGAGTGGGGTTTGCTCTCTGTTTATATACAGTGGCTTGCCTTGCCAGTATTTGGGGGGGGGGGGGGGTTTTTTTTTTTTTTTTTTTTTT